GCTAGGAAGCACTCTTCCGGTGCCCAGTGTTCAGGAGCTGGCAAAAGAGCCATTAGCCGCAGTCCCACAGCGATATGTGCGTCCGGAACAAGACCGTTCTCCGATCATATCTCAGACCTGCGCTCTTTCGCCTCAAATACCCGTCATCGACATGAGCAAGTTATTTTCAAAAGAATTCATGCAGTCCGAGCTGGAGAAGTTGCACCTTGCTTGCAAAGATTGGGGGTTTTTTCAGGTACATATACTATCTGCTCTCCTTACCCAAGTGTAATAGTCATACTAAACTGTATACACCAAAAAAAACAAAAAACACACAATTCAATATTACCCATCAACGGTGAATAATGAAAAAGCAAAAACAACGTCAGATGGATCTGATTATAGGTAACAAGTGGCATTAACAAGCTTGACGTGCCATTAGGCGAGACTTGGACTCTTAATTACCTTCCCTCTCATGAACTTGGATATTGTTACAGTTGATAAATCATGAAGTGAGCGAATCATTGGTGGAGAGTGTGAAGTCAGGGATTCAAGAATTTTTCAATCTTCCAGTGGATGAGAAGAAGCAGTTTCAACAACAGGGAGGAGATATAGAGGGATTGGGGCAAGCTTTTGTTATGTCTGAGGAGCAGAAACTTGATTGGGCTGACATGTTCTACATGATCACATTGCCAACACCTTTGAGGAAGCCATACTTATTCCCCAAGCTTCCTCTCCCATTCAGGTTCTCTCTCTTACACTCCACACACACTGTAAATTAAATTCTTATTTATGCCACCGTAACATATATATACATCCCTCTCGCTCGCAACATGTATTAAATTATTGTGTGTGACTGTCACATATGACGTCAATCCCTCTCACAGCATGCACGTGACAGATAAACATGAGTAACTGAAAACTCTTTGTTTGATTTCAGAGATAATTTAGAAGTGTATTCGGCAGAACTACAAAATCTTGCCAAAAAGATACTTAATTTCATGGCAAATGCTCTAGGAATGGACGCTAATGATATGAAGGAATTGTTTGAACAAGGGCTGCAGCAAATGAGAATGAACTATTATCCGCCATGTCAGC